CACCCAAGCTGGAATGCAGGGGCACAATCACAGCTCACTGCAGCCTCGACCTTCTGGGCTCAAGCGATCCTCCTGCCTCAGCTTCCAAAGTGGCTGGGGCTATAGTTGTGTGCCACCATGCTAGATAGTATAAAAATTTTTTTTAGAGGGAGGTCTTGCCATATTGCCCAGGCTGGTCTTGAGCTCCTTGAACTCCTAGGCGCAAGTGATCATCTCACCTAGGCCTTCCAAAGTGGTGGCATTATAGTCGTGAGCTGCCATGCTGGCCAACTTTTACTCTTTAAAGGCCCATTTTGTGGTCCACTTCTCCCACTCACTAATCACTTCCTCCTTAGCACCCTCTAGTTCTTGCAATCTGTTTAATTTCACATTCTAGCATGTTATTAACAACTCTATTGGACTTTTCCATGAAAAAACAGTGCTTCCTTAGTTCCTCAGAGTAGATTTTAAACTTCATCAGGGCAATGCCATGCACATTCTTTAACTCAATAAGATTTGGCTCTGGACTGCTTAGATTAGTGTTTATTGACTCATAAGGAAAGAGAAAATTAATCTCAGTTTATTAAGTTCTTCCAACATCAGTCGCTGTACTAAGCAGAGTCACTGCATTCGATTTAAGATGAGGAAACCAGGCTCAGCACAGTGGCTCACATCCGGCAATCCTAGCATTTTGGGAGACCAAGATGGGAGGATTGCTTGAGACCAGGAGTTTAGACCAGCCTAGTCAACATAGCAAGGCCCCCATTTCTATTAAAAAAATTTTTTTTTTTTAAATGATGAGGAAACCAAAGCCAAGTAAAAGGTCACAATGCCGATAAAAGTTAGACCCAGGACCCAAACTCAGGCAGCTTGGGTTCAGAGCCTACACATACCCTCCACACCATAAGGATCACATAGAACAGCAGTTAATCCCAGTCCTGTGCTCGTTTTTATTTCTAGCATTATTATTACTTTTTAAAAATTATACTTTAAGCTCTGGGATACACGTGCAGAACGTGCAGTTTTGTTACATAGGTGTACGCGTGCCGTGGTGGTTTCCTGTGCACATCAGCCCATCATCTACATTAGGTATTTCTCCTAATGCTATCCCTCCCCTTCCTCCCCACCCCCTGACAGGCCCCAGTGTGTGGTGTTCCCCTCCCTGTGTCCATGTGTTCTCATTGTTCAACTCCCACTTATGAGTGAGAACATGCAGTGTTTGGTTTTCTGTTCTTGTATTAGTTTGCTGAGAATGATGGTTTCCAGCTTCATCCATGTCCCTGCAAAGGACATGAACTCATCCTTTTTTATGGTTGCATTGTATTCCATGATGTATATGTGCTACATTTTCTTTATCCAGTCTTATCATTGATGGACATTTGGGTTGGTTCCATGTTTTTGCTATTGTGAACAGTGCCACAATAAACATACGTGTGTACATGTGTCTTTATAGTAGAATGATTTATAATCCTTTGGATATATGCCCAGTAATGGGATTGCTGGGTCAAATGGTATTTCTGGTTCTAGATCCTTGAGGAATTGCCACACTGTCTTCCACAATGGTTGAACTAATTTACACTCCCACCAACGGTGTAAAAGTGTTCCTAAATTTCTCCACATCCTCTCCAGCATCTGGTGTTTCCCGACTTTTTTTTTTTTTTTGAGACAGAGTCTTGCTCTGTAGCTCAGGCTGGAGTGCAGTGGCCGGATCTCAGCTCACTGCAAGCTGCGCCTTCCGGGTTTACGCCATTCTCCTGCCTCAGCCTCCCGAGTAGCTGGGACTACAAGCGCCCGCCACCTCGCCCGGCTAGTTTTCTGTATTTTTTTTAGTAGAGACGGGGTTTCAACGTGTTAGCCAGGATGGTCTCAATCTCCTGACCTCGTGATCCGCCCATCTCGGCCTCCCAAAGTGCTGGGATTACAGGCTTGAGCCACTGCGCCCGGCCTATTTCTCGACTTTTTAATGATTGCCATTCTAACTGGCATGAGATGATATCTCATTGTGGTTTTGATTTGCATTTTTCTAATGACCAGTGATGATGAGCTTTTTAAAATATATTTGTTGGCCGCATAAATGTCTTCTTTTGAGAAGTGTCTGTTCATATCCTTCACCCATTTTTTGATGGGGTTGTTTGTTTTTTTCTTGTAAATTTGTTTAAGTTCTTTGTAGATTCTGGATATTAGCCCTTTGTCAGACGGATAAATTGCAAAAATTTTCTTCCATTCCATAGGTTGCCTGTTCACTCTGATGATAGTTTCTTTTGCTATGCAGAAGCTCTTTAGTTTAATTAGATCCCATTTGTCAATTTTGGCTTTTGTTGCCATTGCTTTTGGTGTTTTAGTCATGAAGTCTTTGCCCATGCCTATGTCCTGAATGGTATTGCCTAGGTTTTCTTCTAGGGTTTTTATGGTTTTAGGTCTTATGTTTACATCTTTAATCCATCTTGAGTTAATTAGTTCTGTGCTCTTCTTGAGAACTGGGAGACTCAGCACTGCTGAGCTTTTGCATATAAGGACACTTCGTTTTTTCCCCTAGAAGTGGGGATACATGCGTGTGGTATTTATGTAGGCAACCTCATCACTGACCATGACCGCAGGGAGAGTGGACCATTGACTTTGGAAGCCCGTCAGTTGAAAAGTATCTTGCTTGATTTTAATAGTTGTATAGGGCAGTTGTATATATTGAAAGGAAGGCCTTGTCCCTAGTCTCAAACCTTCTCGTTATTTCTAGGAGTCATAAATATGAGAACTTCCTTGGCTCCACACCCTGACAAACTTTTGGTATTTTATCTTTTCGCAGGGTTGATTCTTTTCTTTCTGCCTTCTTTGAGAGGTCCCTATCCCCACAGCCATTTTTGATTGACTTGGGACATTTGCTATCATGTATTTTTATTATGTACAAATAAAGCAGTTGTTTCTGAATATTAATTAGATAATTTTTGGAAAATTGGCTTCATCTTTTTCCTGTTTTATGATTAAAGGATGTGTTAAGTGTTTTTTTTTTTTTTTTTTAAAAGAAAAAAAGGTTCGGGGTGGCTGATGGGCGCTGTGGCTCACATCTGTTATCCCAGCACTTTAGGAGGCTGAGGCAGGCAGATCACCTGAGGTTGGGAGTTCAAGACCAGCCTGACCAACATGGAGAAACCCCGTCTCCACTAAAAATACAAAATTAGCCAGGCGTGGTGGCACATGCCTGCAATCCCAGCCACTCAGGAGGCCGAGGCAGGAGAATCCCTTGGACTTGGGAGGCGAAAGTTGGAGTGAGCCGAGATCACGCCATTGCACTCCAGCCTGGGCAACAAGAGTGAAACTCTATCTCAAAAAAAAAAAAAAAAAAAAAAAAAGTGGGGGGAACATGTTTATGAGGTAAAAAATGGTATTTGGAGAAGCTGATCTTCAGGGTGGTAGGAAAGGCCAAGGGCTAAGCTGCAACACAGCATAGTCACTGGGGGGCTCACTACACAGGAAGCAGAAGCCACGGGCACATACAGATGCCCACGGGACTATCATATGTATAGGCCTTCTCTGTGAGCTTTTTGGGACAACTATTATATTTGATGGCCAAAAAGAAATTTTGATATAAAACTTGCACTCTTCTTCTCCTGGTGTTTTTTCACTTTGGAATTTTGTGCAGATATTTAAAAGTCAGTACTTCTAAGTGTCAGCTCTGGCTAAAGAGAAGCTGTACCCTTCAGAGATGTTCTCTACATTAAATAAAACTTTTTAAAAACCTGAGCATATAATCCTGCTATTGGCCAGCCACTGCTCTTTTGTTTGGAATACAAAATATTTGTCATCTGGGGACTGTCCAAATTTATTTTCAGTTTTTTAACGTTTAAAATATTTCTAAAAATAAATATTTTCAGAGAATATTAATTTAATTTTAAAAATGGAACCAGGGCACATTTTTATGTAGTGGAAAGAGAAGTGAATTTATTAATTATGAGACCTAGGTTCCAAATGTGTCTTTACTGTGTGACCTTGGGCACATCTGGCCAGCTGGAACATAATTTCTTTGTCTGCAGGGTTGAGGGGAGGGAGGAAGAGAGAAAAAGAGACAGAGGTCTTTCCCAGCTCCCAAAGCTAGGCTTTTGTAATCCAAGCATCCCAGCGTTCTTTCTTACTGTAACAGTGACCTCTTGTGGTATATATCCTTAACCAATTTTGTTTTGATTTGCAAAGTAAACTGGATTTTTTGTTCTTTCTAGTAACTGTATTTCATGTTGTTAGGCAAATATGACTTGTTTTAAAAAGATAAATCTTACTTGGAAATCAAAGGTAAATTAAAGCAGCATATCGAGGCCAGGGTGGTGGCTCATGCCTATAATCCCAACACTTTGGGAGGCCGAGGTGGGCCGATCACCTGCGGTCAGGAGTTTGAGAACAGCCTGGCCAACATGGCAAAACGCCGACTCTACTAAAAATACAAAAATATCCGGGCATGGTGGCGTGTGCCTGTAATCCCAGCTACTGGGGAGGCTAAGGCAGGTTGCAGTGAGCAGAGATCGCGCCACTGCACTCCAGCCTGAGCAACAGAGCAAGACTTCATCTCATAAAAACAAAAACAAAAACAAAACAGCATATAGAGCACCAAACCCCACCTTATAAACAATTCTCGATGGTTTCTTCAGAAACTGTATATTGGCCGGGCACAGTGGCTCACTCCTATAATACTAGCGTTTTGGGAGGCTGAGGCAGGAGGATCACTTGAGACCCAGAATCACCAGCCTGTACAACATAGTGAGACCCTGTCTCTACAAAATGTTTTTTAAAAAGTAACCAGACATGGTGGCATGTGCCTATAGTCCCGGCTACTCGGGAGCCTGGGGTGGGAGGATCACTTGCTGAAAGTAGTTTGATGCTGCAGTGAGCTGTGATTGCAGCACCACTGTACTCTAGCCTGGGTGACAGAGTGAGACCTATCTCAAAATAATAAGAAACTGTATATAGCAGACTCTTGTCATTTACAAAATTAGAAGTGTTTTGACGTTTGTGCTGAGTGTTTTATGTATTTCTCCTAGGGACCAGGGGAAGAGACATGCAAGGGCCTCGTCACGCCCCAGTAGCTCAGACCTGAGCAGGCTGCAAACCAAAGCAGGTGAGGGATCCTTACACTGCTTCATCTGCAGCATCTCCACTTAAAGGAAAAATGTTTGCACTGAAGATATCTATGTTGGCTCACTGAAAACTTCAGGAAGTTTGTCCAATTTGATCACAAATCAACATTTATTTTTATACATTTTTATTATATTCATACAATCTTACCATCTTACCACTACCCAACTCAGATGCCTCAAACGTCTGTAGATGGCAGTCTTTTTTTTTTTTTTTTGAGACAGAGTTTCTTGCTCTGTCGCCCAGGCTGGAGTGCAGTGGCGAGATCTCGGCTCATTGCAAGCTCCACCTCCGGGTTCACACCATCCTTCTGCCCCAGCCTCCCGAGTAGCTGGGACTACAGGCACCTGCCACCACGCCTGGCTAATTTTTTGTATTTTTAGTAGAGATGGGATTTCACAGTGTTAGCCAGGATGGTCTCGATCTCCTGACCTCGTGATCCACCTGCCTCGGCCTCCCAAAATGCTGGAATTACAGGGGTGAGCCACCATGCCCAGCCTAGATGACAGTCTTAATGGTTTTGTAGAAATCATTTTGTAAAAGCATTTGGAAAGTTGCAAAACTTAACATTAACATAGTTCTTGGGTTAAAAACTTGAGTTCAGGGCATTGCTTGGCTGGACATGGTGGCTCACACCTATAATCCCAGCACTTTGGAAGCAGGCAGATCACTTGAGGTCAGAAGTTCAAGACCAGCCTGGCCAACATTGTGAAACCCCATCTCTACCAAAAAAAAAAAAAAAAATTTAACTAGGCATGGTGTGAGGGAGTGGGGTACGTGTAATCCCAACTACTTGGGAGGCTGAGGCAGGAGAATCACTTGAACCTGGGAGATGGAGTTTGCAGTGAGCCTAGATCACACCACTGCACTCCAGTCTGGGCAACAGAACGAGACTTGTCTCAAAAAAAACAAAAAACAAAAAACATTGCTCACTTAAATGAAACTATATTAACTTTACTAAGACCATCCTTTGGGCCTTTAAACGGTTTAATTGAGAAAATATGTAACAATATAAACCACAGTCTAGAAATGATACAAAATGTATTCATGCAATAGAATATAGTTGTTAGAAAAGTGAACTCATGGGCTTTTGTATATTGTAATATTGAGTAAATTCAGTATAAACATAATATGAGATGAAACAAGTTGCAAAAGCAAAGACATATATTGTTTGCTGATACACAGCCATGTGGTAAGCATGTGAAGTCAAGTGTAATCATAGTAACCAGTGGATTTAGGATGGTGGTAACCCCTAGAGGGAGAGGGAGGAGGGGAATGGATGCAGGGAGCCACACATCTGTAATGTTTCATTTCTTTAAAATAAGGGAAAGGATAAAAATTTGGCAAAATGTTAATATCTGACCAAATTAGTATGGGGTACACTGGTGTCTGTTATACTCTTCATATATTTTTGTACACATGAGATTTTACAATACTGAATACTAGATTTTAAAAATTGTTATCTTCAAAACTTAGTTTTTTATCAATAAAATGACTTTTGTGCCATTGGGAATTTCTTTACTCAGGAAAATCTTAGATATAGTAATTTTCGAGCCAGCATAGTTGCTAAGGATTTTACATTTACATGCTAAAAACATCAGCCAATCCAAACATTGTGTCAGGTTTTTGTGTCCAGAACTCAAAGCTGTGGTTAACAACTATAACCACTGAGACAGCAAAATCTTCAAAAACATGCTGAAATTTTTGCTTGACTTACCCAATTTCCTGTTGAATCATAATGTTTATATTTAGCAAACTGTGAACCTAGATGAAAGTGCTTTCTATAATATTAGATTGTTGCCCAAGATTGAGACAACCTTTTTGTTATTTGTGTGTCTATGTGTATCTTAAAAAGCAGTCATATGATTCCGTGCTTCATTTTCTAGAGTAACTCAGGGATTGTGTATAAAATGGAGGCAAGGGGAGGCCAGGGTGAGTGAAGAGGTAGAAAGGCTATAGCCAGACACAACTGTGCACTGTGAAATTCCTGAGAGGGTTGGAAGGAAACCCTCATACCAGTGACTCAGTAACTTCGGTTCTGAGGAGAAGCCAATCTCAGAAACATTCATAAGGGCCCATGAGGGTTAAATCAATTGTTCTGTGATTTCTGACTCACCCCTGTAATTTAGCTCTTTCTGGGGTGAATAAGTTATCCATTTTATTTGTCCTGAAAAACAGTTGATAGTCGTGGTTTCTCATAGAACTTCTGTATTAAGCAGCATATTGTATAGGAGGTAAAAAATGCAGACTTGAACTTACTGGACTCAAAGTCTAGTTTCTAGTAAATTTAAGTGTGTCATAAATATGTGTGGATTAAATAACTTGCCTGACTTATTTTCTGGCTTTCACTTGCCTTGATAGATGTTTATTTTATTTTATTCTTTATATACTTTGGACTTTGAATAGGTTAATTATCCACAAATATGAGAAACTATGTTTTTTGTATTACTTGAATATTCATGTTTATTTTTAGAATCCACATCCATAAATTATCAAAGTTAAGGCAGATTCATAAAAACAATGATCCAAAAGATTGAGATGGTAGTCTACAAACTATCTGTAGTTCCAAAATCCCTGAGCCTGATGGGAAGTCAGTTAGAGTCTTCATTTTGTTACTGTGAATATTCATATATTTTGCTACAGGGTGCTGCTGCAGAAGACCCTGCGGGGGTGGTTTGTAATGTGCAATGTGTATACCATATTGACTTTCTAAAATCCATATGTTTCCGAATCCCAAACCATATCTGATTCCAGAGGTTTTGGATAAGGGATTGTGAATCTGTACTGATGTGGACTAATTTGTCCTAAAGACAATTCAGTTTAGTATTTTATGGTGAAGTCTTGTACTGGGTTAGATAGATTATCTGAAACCTTGCTATTAAGGCTATTTACTGCACTGCAAATGTTTAATAATAGCTTTGTTGACAATCTCTTTCTATGTACTTTTGCTGCTTAGGTGATCTTGGATGCCCTGTGTGGGTCAGCTGCTCTTGGCAGTGGGAAGGGTTGATAAAAGGCAAGCCTGTACTTGCTGCAACTGGGAGTGGCCCTTTCTAGCATGTAGTATAACAGGGGAAGGCCTCTGTGTTGGGCGGGATAGGTAGATTGTACAGTGTCCCTGCTTCTCCTGCGTGACATCAGCACCATTTGATGGTGTGAGTATTCAGAATTCAAATATATCTCTGAATTCAAATGAGTTTTTCAATACATGCCATTATGTGTTATCTATGGATTTCTCTGCTATTTGTACAGATAATCGTCAAGGGACTTTACTGGATTTCTTGATGCAGAGAATTTTGTTTTAATCCATATTAATATTAAAAAATATTAATACGGATATGTACTAAGGTATTACACACATTTAATATGTGTTGTATATATTTTTCTCTTCAAGAATAATAATAATGCATTAGAGGCATTGGAAAATACAGAAGAGCATAAATAAATTAATAATCCTAATCCCAATATTTAGAGATAACCATTGTTACCCCATTTTACAGAAGAGAGGTGAAGCAATTTGCCCATAGTCAACCAGCTAGTAGGTGGCAGAGCTAGGATTCAAACTCGGATGGTGACTCCAAACCTGTGCTATTAACAGGCCTCCTGCTCAACTTGTCCTTTGTTTAAAGTAACCTGAAAATATATGGGCTATATACCCTTTTGCTCCTCTCTCTGTTTCTGTCTCTTTGTCTTTCTCTGCCTCTTGTCTCTTTCTCTTCCAACCTCTCACCTTCTGATTGTTCCTGATTTCTAACTCTTTATGTGACCTTTTTAGGGTCCAGGCACCTTCTGTGTGTACACTTAATTGGTACCAGGTCCACCCTGCCCCGAGAGGGCGTGGACTCCCTGACTTGATGTAGACCAAGTGCCAGATAAAGGATTTAAAGGGTGGTCTTCAGAGAAGGGAGACTGAGGAATACATCTCCAGCACTGTTCAGTAATGCCTCAGCACAGCAATGCCACCTCCAGCTACAGTCAGTGTTTTAGATCTTGAGATACTGCCTGTGTGAAATATAATCATAATTACCAGTTTCTAATATGAGTTAGATTTCCCCCCAATGTTACCCTTTAGTTGGCTAGTTTGCTGCAAGTCAGCATAGCTTTGAGGTCAAGTGCAGAGGCTGGGGAGCTATATGACCCTGAGCAGATAACTTAGTACACCTGGGCTCCACTTTCTTCTCCTGCAAAATGGGGATTGTTTGGGAACCTCCTGGTAGTGTTACTGCAAAAATGAAATGGAGGCCTCCTGCATCTAGAGTACACAGTCAATGGTTGCTATTCCCTGCAACCCATATTCACAGGCAGCATCTACTCTTGATGGCTTGTTAGTATCACACAGGTATGAGATACTGCAGGGGTGATTACCTGTTTGTGTGCTTGTTTAATCAGGGAAATGAAATTAATTATATACTGTATATTGCTAAAGGCTTGGCACTGAGCTCAGAGCTTTACCTATACCATATATTTTAATTCTTATACCCTCGAAGGCAAATATTCTGTTCTGCTGATGAGGAAACAGAGACTCAGAAAGGATAAGAAACTGGACCCCAGTCACTCACCATGTCCTTAACGGAGTTGGGATTTGAACTGAGATTTGTCAGCCCCCAAGGCCCCGGCTTTTCTGCTGCACCACACAAAATCACTTGGCATTAATGCTACTGGCCCCATGTTAGTGTGGACATCTTATTTCTATAGAAAAGAAAGTCATTTCAGGTCTCGCTTTTAGAAAATTTTTCATTACACATTTTCAAAATCCTTATTCTTTACGTATCTATAGTTATTTATTCTATATTACAGAGGGATACGTTTAAGTAAAAATGAACTCAGAACTGTTTGCCTTACTGACAGTCATCAGTATTTACAAAGCTGACTACTTTATGAAGTGACCAGATCATATTTTAAAGTTCTGACTTGTTTACGTTATCCAGTCTGAGTTTAATTTGGGGTAATTTGATTAGAAGATCTGTAGTTCTAATGAGAAATAGTCAGACTTGGGGAGCAAAGGGTAATTTAATTCTCTAGTTTATTAATTGTAGTGATGAATAGTAAAGGCTTTTGACTGTGCTTCATGACAACTCCTTTTTCATAACTTTTTCTCCTGTTCTGGATTTCTTTTGCAGTCCCAAAAGCTGACCTGCAAGAAAAGGACGCAGAAATAGAAGTAGACGAAGTCTTTTGGAATACGAGGATTGTACCGATTTTGCGTCAATTAGAAAAGGGTAAACAAACAAAACAAAACAAAAACCTGTTTTTGTTTTTTTTAAAACAATACCTGTAGTTATTTATGTGTTCCCCATTGCCCTGATGTTTTTAGTAAGTTTTCACTATCATTTCTGTGAACATGTTCAAAAACAAATGAAGTCATCTATTTATTTACCCTGTGTGTATTAAATAATACATGCACACATAATTTTTAGTAAGATTATGCTTTATGTGCACCAAGAGAGCCAATTTCTAAAATTTCCTTTGTAATATAAATTAATTATCATTTCCTCTGCCCAAGGAAATTCTGGTTTAACTTCTCTCGGGTGGCTGTTCATACTCAAGAAAGTAAAAGATTAAAACAGATTTCAGGCTTGGAAGCTGAGTCTCATAAACTGGCGTCCTTGACAGGTGTGCCCGTGGTTTCCTTGGTCCAACTGGTATATGTCCTACTCTCTTGAAGGGAGCACATCTGTCAGGAATACCACCCACAGCATGGGAAATGGCCTGGGATGTGTCCCACCCTTGCACTCTGAACTGCCCCGGAAGTGAAGGCCCATGATCGATGGGTCCCTGCAAGGGGAGGGAAAGCGTGTCATGGGTTGGCCCTCCACTTTCTCCCTCTTTGCAGCTCCTCAAGGATTCTCTTTCTGAAGTTGAACCAGGCCCTCTGGAGCAGTGGTCATAGCCCTAGGGCGAGCCCAGTGCCTGGCACACAGTGCACAGTAAGCCTTTGCTAGGAGTTGTTGGTGAGCAAACCAGCTTGGTAGCCACAGGAATATGCTCTAAGAGAAGCAGGGTAAATGAAAACTCTCCAGCAACCAAACAGGGATGTGCTGCAAAAGACCTGATTCCCGAAAGGTTCAAATGACCTCACCCCTCCTCTGCTCCCCTTTGGTGCTTGGCTGTGTTCATGGTTAATGTGGGAGCCCTGGACAGGGTTTCTGGTCCCGGTGCTGCTACTTGCTAAGCATATGGCCATGAGAAGTCACCTAGACTCTGCGTGCAATAGTGTCCTCACCTGCCAGACGAGGTGGAGACTAGGTTATCTCAAAAGGCTTCTGCAGCCCAAAGTCCTAAGGATATGAATGTGATGACTTTTTCCCCTCTAGAGTTACTATGTTCCCCCTCATATTAGTGTGCCAGGTTAGCTTTGGGCCCTTTATCTTAGGAGATAATGTGCAAACAATAGTGAGAAGAACAATGAGTCTGGGTAAAGGTTGCATAAGAAAATATATTGCAAAACATTGAATGGGGACACCGAGTCAGTATTGTGAAGGCTTTTCTTGTAGGAAGTCTTCCTACAGGAAAGAAGGATTTTTTTTTTTTTTTTTTTTTTTTTTGAGACAGAGTGTTGCTCTGTCACTCAGGCCGGAGTGCAGTGGCACAATCTTGGCTCACTGCAACCTCCGCCTCCCGGGTTCAAGCTATTCTTCTGCCTCAGCCTCCTGAGTAGCTGGGACTACAGGCGCCTGCCACCACGCCTAGCTAATTTTTTTGTATTTTCAGTAGAGATGGGGGTTTCACCATATTGGCCAGGCTGGTCTCAAACTCCTGACCTTATGATCCACCCGCCTTGGCCTCCCGAAGTGCTGGGATTACAGGCGTGAGCCACTGCACCTGGCCAGGAGTTTTTTTAAAGAGAGGGGTCTCACTAATGCTGCCCAGGCTGGCCTTGAACTCTTGGGCTGAAGTGGTTCTCACACTACAGGCTCACACCACCATGTCCAGCTCAGCCGGAAGGATTTTAAGAGGGTGCTAAGGGCTCTGCCTACCATGCACACTAGTAGAGAAAATTTAACAGGAGTGGGGATTTGAAATGTGAATGAATCTCCCTTCTCAGAAGGCGGCTTATTAAACACGGAAATATGGCATCTCTCTCTCTAGATAACATTGAGAACAGCAAATGGATCAAGCATGGTGGCTCACGCCTGTAATCCCAGCACTTTGGGAGGCCAAGGCAAGAGGATCACTTGAGCTCAGGAGTTTAAGACCAGCCTGAGCAACATAGAGAAACCCCATGTGTACAAAAAATACAAAAATTAGCTGAGCATGGTGGCATGCACTTGTAGTCCCAGCTACATGGTAGGCTGAGGCTGGAGGGTCGCTTGAGCCTGGGAGGTCGAGGCTGCAGTGAGTCGTGATTGTGCCAGTGCACTCCAGCTTGGGTAACAGAAAGAGACCCTGTCTCAGAAAACAAAACAAAACATCAGTGAATGGTGGCAGGGCTGGATTACTTGATCCCTTGAGAATTTTTTTCTTTTTCTTTTTTTAACTTTTGACATAATTTGAGACTTACAGAAAAGTTGCAAGACTATCACAAAAAATGCTGTATATTCTTCATCCAGATGCCCCCAATAGTAACACTTTGCCGCATTTGCTTTCTCATTTTGTCCCTTCCCCGTCCCTCTCTTTTTCTCTACCACTACACAGTTTTTAATTTCTTTAACCTTTTGAGAACAAGTTGCCAACCTAATGTCCCATATTCCTAAGTATTTTGGCATGCATATTTTAATTTTTTCTTTTTTCTTTTTCTTTCTTTTTTTTTTTTTTTTTTTTTTTTTGAGAGGGAGTCTCGCTCTCGTCACCCAGCCTGGAGTGCAGTGGCACGATCTTGGCTCACTGCAACCCCCACCTCCTAGGTTCAAGTGATTCTCCTGCCTCAGCCTCCCGAGTAACTGGGACTACAGGTGTCCACCACCACACTTGGCTAATTTTTTTTTTTTTAGTAGAGATGCGGTTTCATCATATTGGCCAGTCTGGTCTTGAACTCCTGACCTTGTGATCCACCCACCTCGGCCTCCCAAAGTACTGGGATTGCAGGCGCAAGCCACCATGTCTGGCCTAATTTTTTTTTCTTTTGAGACGGAGTCTTGCTCTGTTGCCCAGGCTGGAGTGCAGCGGCACGATCTCAGTTCACTGCAACCTCCACCTCCTGGGTTCAAGCAATTCTTGTGCCTCTGCTTCCTGAGTGGCTGGGATGTTAAGTGTACACCACCACACCCTGCTAATTTTTTGTATTTTTAGTAGAGACTGGATTTTGCTATGTTGGCCAAGCTGGTCTCAAACTTGTGGCCTCAAGTGATCCACCTGCCTCGGCCTTCCAAAGTTTTGGGATTACAGGTGTGAGCCACTGAGCCTGACTGGCATGTATATTTTTTAGAAACAAAAGCATTCTCTTATATATCTGGAAATTACCATACAATACTATACAAATCTTACTCAGATTTTGCCAATTTGTCCCAATACTTTCCTTTATAGAAAAAATAAAAGCCTGGATCACAAGTTCTCATCATTTGCCACATCTCTTTCGTGATCTTGATCTATTTGAGGAATATTTTACAGACTGTCCTGCAGATTGGGTTTGTCTGATGTTTTCCCTGTGATGAGCTCCAGATTAGCATCTTGGGCAGGCAGAGCACGAGTGCCACTGTGTCCCTGTCAGCGCCTCCTGCCAGGAGTACACAATGCTGCTGCGTTCTGTTGCTGGTGGTGTTCCACAGCTGTACCCACTGTCAAGTTTTTATTCTTTCCTTTGTGATGAATACATATATTGGGGGATAGAAGTTACTCTGAGATTATGTAACTCTCTGTTACACATCAAACTTTTACCCACTAGATTTAGCCCCTTGCAAATCTTGATAGTTCGTAGATTCAAGTTGTCTTTTGCAGCTGTAGAGCATTTATAACAAACTATTTGGTATAAAGGATTGATTTGATCAATAGTTTAAAATTTGACCCGTGAGCCTTTCTTCTAACCTCTTTTTTAAAGCTAAAAACAAGTATTCTTGAATAGAACCTACCAGGCTGAAGAGTTTGTGGAAGGAAGTGTTAGAAAAATACTTGGAGGACCACCCACTGCCAATGAGTGGCCCAGAGCCTGGACTTAGGGTTTGTAAAGAAACCGCCAGTCACAGAAGAATAAAACAACAAAACACAAGTGTTTCATACAATAGGAGTTCAGGTTTTTCCCTTTATTTAAAGTTAGTCTAAGTCATTTCCCATCAATTCATTCATTTAAGTGCATAACCGAAAGACATTGAAGGTTACTTAGCTATTGAGGTTTAAAATTTTTTCTTAGATGTTATTGTTGAAAAGAGCTAAAAATGGCCTGAGTCACTTCCTTCTGCAGGCACACACTTCCTCTATGTGGGCTTCTAAGAGCACATTATGGTATTTATTTAAGATTGGTTTCCTACTTTTAAATTTCACGAAGGAATCTATCAGAGATAATATTATTCAACAGAATATGTTAGATTATTTTATTTCCCCTCATGTTCCATTTATTGTGCTATTTTTCTTCTTTGTATGCGAATTAGTGTGGCTACCACTTTCAAAAATTACTTTCCTAGGCTGGGTGTGGTGGCTCACACCTGTAATCCCAGGACTTTGGGAGGCTGAGGCAGGTGGATCACTTGAGATTAGGAGTTTGAGACCAGCCTGGGGAAAATGGCAAAACCCCATCTCTACCAAAAATACAAAAATTAGCCAGGTGTGGTGACACGTGTCTGGAGTCTCAGCTACTCAGGAGGCTGAGGCAGGAGGATTGCTTGAGCCTGAGAGGTGGAGCTTGCAGCGAGCCAAGAATGCACCGCTGCACTCCAGTCTGGGTGACAGAGTGAGACTCCATCTCAAAAAAAAAAAAAATTACTTTCCTCACAATCATAATTATAAAATGAAAGATTCTAGATCTCCCTGTTTCCTAACTAAAATATTCTTCTTTTTTTAAATTTATTTTTTATTTTATTTTATTTTGGAAGTAGGATCTTGCATATTGCCCAGGTGGCATTGAACCTGGAATCAAGCAACCCTCCCACCTCGGCCTCCCAAAGTGCCAGATGACAGGCGTGAGCAACCCCAAAAATCTTTTTATTCTCCTGTTTTCTAATAACTACCTCCAGATAATGGTGGATTTTGTGACATTTCAGGCTTTTGTTCTATTAGAGCCCTCTTTTCTTAGATGATGAGCATTATTCTCATAGGAAAATATTGGTCATTGTTTTTGTCAACAGATATATTAGAAAATGAATATGTATGAAGTTATGCTATATACAGTATTCTATACAGTATTCTCACTGTACCATGTGCTGTTGATAGATATGTAGGACTGGCTCACTTAGCATGACATCTGTTTGAGGGCACTGGTCATGTAACAACACACACATATGTACATGAAAAATAAGTAACCTAAGGTAATGTTTGTGAATGTGGAACAGTGCATCTTTTCTGAAGCAGCTACAACATAAACAGAGCCTCGAAGGACCAGAAACAGTAGGAATGAGGGTTATGGAGAACATTTTAGGCCAATAGAACTATGCAAAAAAGAGTTGAAGGTCAAGATGCAAGTGGCATGCATCTGTGAGACTGAGCAGAGCACGGGCTGAGGTGGAGGGTGTTTGGAGTAAAGGAGGCCAACTGAAGCAGGTAGAAGTCCCATTCTCCAATACCTCTTTGAAAGACTGTGTATTCTAGATAAGCTAATGACTGATAAGTAATAAGTCAACATGGTAGGAGGTGGATCAAAGGGATGAAAAAAATCGGGTAGATGGAAGCGATAAGATAAGGAAAAAAATAGAGTTCAGGAATTTGAAGATATCCAAGGAAATAATGACAGGGTTTTTACTCACACTGTGTTTGACACACTTGAAAACTTAACCTTAATTAGTAAGTGTTGCTTTACTCTCTTTGCTCTGACAGAAGAAAACATTGAAACGGTTTGTGCTGCTTGCACAGAACTTCATCATGCTTTAGAGGAAGGAAACATGCTTGGAAATAAATTTAAGAGAAGAAGTATTCTCCTGAAGACCCTATGTAAACTAGTTGATGTTGGTTCAGACTTGCTCAGCCTTAAACTTGCAAAAATAATTCTAGCAGTAAGTTTTTCTTTCCTCTGGTCTAGTAGACTATATCACATAAAAGCTTTGTTTAATGCTTTATTTGTAAATATTACAAAGAATATTAGAAATGTAGTGTATTTGTTTAGAATCTTGGAAAAAATTAAGGTAATAAACTGACATCTCAGAATTTGACCAGGAAGTATTATCTAAGGAACTAAAGCTGAGTACATAGAAAATGTTCAAAGAAACTCTTAACATTTTTGGACTGCGACTAAGTTTAAAAAAAAAAAAAAAGAAAAGAAGGAAGGAAAGAAAGGCAAGAAAGAAAAAGAAAATAACCGTAGGCAAATACATTCGAAACGGTTGCTCAAATAACTTGACTGGAGATCAGTAGCAGATGGTGCAGGCTGTGGTTTCTCTTGGATGTTTGATTCTGTCATATGATTTAATAAATAACTAAGTAATTTAGGCCACAGTCATAATAAACCAGGTGCTTTAGGAACCAGTGTGAAACCGAAAAACAGCTGCGTGTGGTCACAGGAAGGTACCTCAATGGTCATAGAAGGCTTTCACAAGGTGTGAGAAGAAAAGGCCAGACACCAAAAAAACAGTCTGTAGAAACTCTGTCTCAAACAAAATGATATCATTGTTTGAGGGAAGCACTTCATTGTCACAGCCATAAACAGTTGGAACCAAAAGATAAGCCACAATTATTATAGAATGTTCTAAGAGAGCCGCGAAAACAAATGAATGAAGCTTTGTTTTCTTGGTTTCATACAAGTAAAAGCTTTGTGCTAACACCCCATAATTTATAGAATTTAAAATCTTATAGTATACAGTGAAGGTAAGTATTGCCATACTTACTATTAGTTAATAAGAATGCCACCTTTTCTTATACTGGTAATGAAGTCTTTCATAAAGCAGAATTTTCTGAGCATATATCTGTGTAATATCAGGGGGAGGCTACATTCTTATTTAGCTGTCAAACTATTAACTCTCTTTTTAAAAATTGTGATATGTGGTGAAGAAAGCAATACTTGTTTGAAATAGTGATTTCACTCCACGACTCTGGTGGTGCAGTAGCTGCCCAAAGATTGCCTTTGCTATTTTAATCTGGATCCTAGACATTTTGTTCCATACCAAGCCAAAGAAAGAAAGAAAGAGTGAGGGGGGTAAAAAAAAAGAAAGAGCAAGAAGGAAAGGAAGGAGGAAGGAAGGAACATGAATTCTTTTAATGCTTTGCAGAGAAAATATTATTTTGGTTATTAATGGTGTCATTCAAATTAATTATCTATATATGGCACAAATTTTATTATTTTAGGGCAAAAGGCTAAATGATCTGCCAGGCAGTGAACATGTTTTGAGCTAAACATATGATTAAAGCCCTCTTGGTGACATTGATGGCCTTGCTGAATCAGGAGCAAGATGCTGGGCTAAAACTCCAGAGTGCAGAGCTGGGTAGGTTTGCCTTCTGACTAGCTGCAGAACCAGCATCAGAAAGGACCTTCAAATCCATCAAGGCCAACTTCCCATCTACTGCCTCGATCTCCTGTAACATTCCAGGCAAGGTCTTGTTTAGCTTAGGCCTTGGTGATGGGGTTCTGTGTAAAATTTTAAAAGACTACATCGTAAGAACCGTTGAAGAAGAAAAAATCAGCAAAAACTAAAGCTATATGGGACTAAGAAGTTTTTCACAATTTCTTTCTGCCTATTTATTGGCAAATATTGGCAAATGAAAGTTTTCCAGACTGTCATCTTAATTTTAATTTTTGTGTCAAAAGCTCTTACAAAATAATATACAAAAATATATAAGCTTAAATGTTACTATATTAAGTTTTTTTAAAAGAGTACAAACAAATATATGCAGTATGAATGTGACTATATTTAGGAGGGAAAAAAATCTAGCACCCTTTGTACAGGGTAAAAAAAGAAAAGAAATACCAATAGCAAGTGTGATTATACATAGTGGCACTATTATGAGTGATTTTTAAACTTCTCTGACTTTAATTTGCCAAATTTACTTTAAATAGAATAAACTACTGTTTTTAACGTAAGAGGAAAACTACCCTACCACAAGAACCTACTTTGTGCCAAGATCTCACTCTGTCACCCAGGGCTAGAATACAGTGACAAGATCACAGCTCACTGCAGTCTCAAACTTCTGGGCTCAAGTGATCCTTCTGCCTCAGTCTCCCGAGGAGCTTAGGACCACAGGCATGCACTACCACACCTGGCTGATTTTTTAAAAATGTTTTATAGAAATGGGGTCTCGCTATGATGCCCAGGCTAGTCTCAGACTCCTAGCCTCAAGCAGTTCTCCCACTTTGGCCTCCCAAAGTGCTAGGATTACACGTGTGAGTCACACACCTGGCCAGAGACTCTTCTTGACACTGGGAATACAAGTGAATAAACTAGCTCCTGCCTCTGGGGTTGCCACTGTAGCAGGGCAGACAGACAGCAAACACAGCAGATACCAAAGGAGATAATGAGAACTAAGGGAGAAAAATAAAGCAGAGCAAAGGAAAGGGAGAGTAACAGGGAATTTTTAAAATAAGATAGTCTGCACCCCTTGCATAAATGTAAGATTTTATTATCTTTTTATGTCTTAAAGTCATAATTTTACAGTTAACAATGGAGAAGCTATACAAATTTGCTCTGAGTGTAAATTGACATTACAGCAGGCCTGGAAATTGTGGTTGTCTTTTTTCTTTTCTTTGTTTTCTTTTTTATTTTTTCTTCTTGTTGTTTTAATGAAAACTCTGATACAAGGGTTTTTTGTTTTGTTTTGTTTTCGTTTGCCACTTTTTACTAAAAATGTAAGATTTGGTGGGGGAAAGGAAAGTGAGTTTTATTCATTTTTTTCCATGAAGTTTTATTAAGTATGGAACTCATCCTACATATTACATATAGAAAGAGTAATAAATGGTGGTTTTTGACCTCAAGGACTCACAATCTAGTAGAAGATAGTCAGCCGATTCAAATATATTCCCAAATATTAGGAATAATATATATTTCCATCAATATAGAAATGTTCTGTTTTCTTAAGCCCTCTTATTTTCTGAGGGTTTTAAACAATGTTATTTTAAATACCTAATCATTAAACATGTATTAAGGTTCCCATTTCCTATTTTCCTCCTGGGAACAGAAGGAATCTCCATTCTGCCATGTGTTACAGTTTCTGAAGCTTCCATAACAGTGTTTCCCAGACTTCAGTGTGCACATGCATCCCCTGGGGATCTTGTAAAATGCAGATTCTGAGGCAGTACTGCAGGGTGGGGCCTGAGATTCTGCATTCCTAATGCATGCCCAGGTGATGCCGAGGTGGTTCTGTGACCTCTCTGAGGCACGCACTCCTCAAGTGCAAAATGGGAATGACATCACCAAATTTGCAGGGTTGCTCTGGAATAACTTTTGTAAGTGGCCTTTTGCAGGAGGGCATGCAGAAGCTGCACCACAGGCAGTGCTCGCCTCCTGGGACCGCTCCAGCTGGGGGCTGACCATGGCCATCCTGGTGTCTTCTGCAGTGAGCAGCACAGTGCCTGGTACACATCAGGTGCCCAGTAAATATTTGTGGATCAAACACAGAACAAATAACAAATATGCCTGACAGATTCCATTATATTTTTTTAAGTAACTGAAAACTCATTAATAAATATTATTAAAAATAACTTTAGGCTGGGCGTGGTGGCTCACGCCTGTAATCCCAGCACTTTGGGAGGCCAAGGTGGGTGGATCACTTGAGGTCAGAAGTTTGAGACTAGCCTGGCCCACGTGGCAAAACCCCATCTTTACTAAAAATACAAAAATTAGCCGGGCATGGCGGCATGTGCCTGTAATCCCAGCCACTTGGGAGGCTGGGGCAGGAGAATCACTTGAGCCCGGGAACCGGAGGTTGCAGTGAGCCAAGATCATGCCATTGCACACTAAGCTGGGGGAGAAGAGCAAAAGTCCATCTCAAAAAATAAATAAAATAACTTAAAAGATAGTTTTTAATAATAAACTAATAACCTATATGTCATCCTTTTCACACAGAAATAATTTTTTGTTCAGATGACTTTATTCCTACAAACACATTTTTACACCTTTGCAATGAGGGCACATAGTATTTCCATCTAACAGTAGGTTATAAATGTTTCCCTTTTTAAACATAGTGTTCACAGTTACGCTTTTTTGTGACTGCTTAATGTGAATAGTATTGATGTCCCACAGTTTATTAAACTATTCCCTAATATTGGATATTTAGGGTGTTTTTTAGTTTTCTTTTTTACTACTTTAAATAAACAGCTAATTTAGACCATTTGATTAAGTCAGTCATCCTATACTTTGCTTTAAAAAAAAAAAAAAAAACCAACTATATTTCCTTATCACCCTGTGTTTAGTTTACTTAGATCTTTTTGTATGATTTAGAAGACAATTTTCTTTTCTTTTTTTTTTTTTTTTTTGAGACGGATTCTCGCTCTGTCACCCAGGCTGGTGTGCAGTGGCGCGATCTCGGCTTACTGCAACCTCCGCCTCCCGGTTTCAAGTGATTCTCCTACCTCAGCCTCCTGAGTAGCTGGGATTACAGGCGCGTGCCACCACACCCGGCTAATTTTTGTAGTTTTAGTAGAGATGGGGTTTCACCATATTGGTCAGGCTGGTCTCGAACTCCTGACCTCGTGATCCACTTGCCTCAGCCTCCCAAAGTGCCAGAATTACAGACGTGAACCACTGCATCCAGCCTAGAAGGTAATTTTCAACTTTAGATGTTACTTATGATTATCTCAAAGCATTCCAGAAGTAGACCTTAAAAAGAAATATATGTATATTATCAAATTAAACAGTATTAAGTTTTCTTTTATACAAATGATAAAACCAAAAGCTTCCCCCTTTCTTTTCTTTCCTTCGTCTCTACTATGTATTCTTTTCTAAATTAATGTGAAATTTTGGTATTCATCTTTCTCTACTTTTGTGTTTTAATGCAATTACTCTAATTAAATGTATTAGCAGTACACTGCACCCCTTTCTTCCTCATATACTCCTTTAAAAGTAACTAATAATCACACATATAAATATGAGACTTGGCTGGGCGTGTTAGCTCACACTTGTAATCTCAACACTGGGAGGCTGAGGTAGGAGGATTGTTTGAGCCTGCTAGTTTGAGACCAGCCTGGGCAACATCTCTACCAAAAAAAGTTGAAAAAATTAGCCAGGCACGGTGGCACATGCCTATAGTCCCAGCTGCTCTGGCGGCAGAGGCAAGAGGATTGATTGAGCCCATGAGGTCAAGGCTGCAGTGAGCTGTGATGGTGGCATCACGGCACTCCAGCCTGGGTGAAAGAGCAAGACCCTGTCTCTGAAAAAAAGAAAAGAGAGAGAGACTTTATGAAGTAAGAAATAAGTAAGGAAAACAGATTGGAGGTTCCTCAAGAAACTAAAAATAGAGCTGCTGTATGATCTGGCAACCCCACTGCTAGGTATATACTCAGAAGAAAGGAAATCAATATATCGAAGAGATAATCTGCACTTCTTTGTTTATTCCACACTGTTCACAATCGCCAAGATCTGTCATTAAAATGTTTATTCTAAAGATCATTTATATTGTATTTACTATAATTGAGTTAATTGGATACCACAGTTAGCAAATATGTGTTCTAAATTTTTCGAAGTTGATTTCTTTAGAACTTTTCTTCATGTTTAAAAATACTCTTGCTGCACTTTAAAAATAGATGTTTGTGGTTTATTTTTTTAAAATACAGCATGTCTTTATTTCCTTCTGCAATAGAGATGTGTTTCTTTCTCTGCAGCTTAAAGTGAGTAGAAAGAATCTTCTTAATGTCTGCAAACTTATATTTAAAATTAGCAGGAATGAGAAGAATGATTCTTTGATTCAAAATGACAGCATTCTGGGTGAGTGTCATTCAGTGCTACTATTGAGCAAATGTACTTGAGTAAAAATTAGATATCTGGAGAGAAAATGTATAATCAATGATAGCAGGAATATTTTGTTTTCTAGAAACATGCAGAAGTTTTGCGATGCTCATTTTTACTTTGTCCTTCTCTGTTTTCCACATTCAGTTGAATGTATCCTGTGGTAGTTTTCTCTTTTCTTTCAACACCTGTAGTAACATTGTGTGATTTACAAAGTGTTCCCCATTTAAGAATTCATTTCCTGGACTTGGATTTAATATATAGAAAAATGCATGTAATAGTATTTGACATAATTGAAAAATTTTAGTCTTTAATATACTAGGAATGACTGAAAGTTGAAAGACATCTATAACTCTTATAGCAACCTAACATCACAATATTTCAAATTTGTAGGTAAGGAAGTTTTATTACACCTTGTCTAACTCATGCCTAATTTTTGTTGTACTTCTAAAAAATTAAGATACCTAGTTACCTAAATGGAAATGTTTTTATGAATTAATATTGCTGATACAAGAAGAGAAGATACAAAGTATCTTCCATGCAGCAACATGGAAAATATTTTGAGTTCTCTTTTTGCAACATAGGATAAATTATCTTTTCATCTTTCTTTGCCCCTGGCAGACAGGGACAAAACCAGTACTGAAAGAAATGTCTAATGTTGAATCAACTAATTAAGAATTGTAGACTGAAAACAATCATCTCAAATTATTACATGGGCATTAATATAATTAAATGTGAGATATGCATTATTAACCTTATTGGATTTGCCTGGATTACTCGTAAAACCAAGTAGTGGTATGTTATTGAACAAATGTTCTTAAGTTGTCTTGGGAAAAGGATAGGTGTTGTATTCAAGTTATCTTTTTCTAGGGTGATTGAGATATTTTTTAAGCTCCTGTCATGGATTTCCCACTAATAATACAGAAACAAATATATTCTTAAAGACTTATTGAAATTTAACTCTTAAATTTGTTAAATTATTAGTATTCTATGACTCAAAATTTTTGTAACAAAAAATAAAGGCCAATAAATAATTAGTAAAAGGCAAGGAATGACATTAATTAAAATAATACTTTCTCTTATTTATTAATAATCCCATCCTTTTGCTGAAATTACTATTACAGAGATTTGTCTTAACTAAAAGTAAGCTTTTCTCTTTATACGATATAACTCTTAACAAGCACTTGAATGTAGATTTTGGTAAACATATTTTACAAAGTGTATTTTATGTTCACACACAACTTATTTAATATATTTATCTCCCGCTGTTATACTCAGACATTTATAATAATTCATCTCTTTGACAGAATCATTGTTGGAGGTACTAAGAAGTGAAGACCTGGAAACTAACATGGAAGCTTTTTTATACTGTATGGGGTCTATAAAGTTCATTTCTGGAAATCCAGGATTTCTTAATGAAATGATCAGCAAAGGTGCTGTGGAAATACTGATAAATTTGATAAACCAAATAAATGAGAACACCGAGAAATGTGGTACATGTTTGCCTAATTCGGGCCACTTGCTAGTCCAGGTAAGTATTTTACTTGAAAAGATTAGACGTGTAAAATTAGTTTTCACATTGCCTAATGCCAGTTTTAAAAGAATGGCATGCAAGAGGCCCCTATAGCCAGGTGTGGGTGCCTGGCCTCCAAGGGCAGCAGCCACAGCCCACCTCCACCCCATGAGGACCTGGTGCCTGTTGTCCTGGACGGGCTATTCCATGGTTATTACCAGAGCAGCTCTCCACACAGCATGCACTTTCAATGCCCTGCAGAGAAAGCAGGCCTGGAAGAAGGGAAAAGTTGTACCTCTCTGCAAAACAATTGCATGTTGGAGTCAAATTTTAGCAGGCTGTTCAGTGTTGAAGATGGGCCTGGCCCGGAGATGATTTATGATGATTGGTAGCTAATGTCATTACTCTTGTATCTTCAGTAAGAAACAGAAGGTAATGGGATTGAGTGGACAGTCATTGAGGTGGGTATGTAGATACCAGGCAGCCCCGAGACTGTAGGAATGCAGGGAACAAAACTGGATGCACTGAATATAAACAGAGCAGGTAGACCAGTTTTGTTATGTGTTAGGGTTTTATTGCTTACGTTGTAGCAGATTAAATTTCATAGTTAAATTATTTTCACTGGAGCTGCTCTGGCTTGGATACTCTTTTTTAGATGAGATTTTATCTTTAATAGCATTTGTATGTCAAATAATGGCATCTTTGATGTAATAATTCATAGGATTTGAAATGTGCTTGTCAGTTAATGAGGATTGAGCACTCAGAGCACTCTAAGCTATTAGGAAACTGTTAAAAATTAGATTTAGGCCCTGTCTTCAAGGTGCTTAAAGTATTTGGATGATTATTAATTTCGGACTTTGTGGTCTGTCTCCATTTTGAAGAAGATTGTGAAAACCTCTTTGAGTCATAAATGTGCACAGTTTTTCTGTGTGCCCTGTTTTGGCTAGGAAGACTTCAGAAACATTTTCCATGCTCCCAGTGTTATTGAATCATTCAATTTTTTTCCCTCAATGAAAATAGTAATTTCTGATTATAGACTAATTATATTTCCTGTTAAAATGCTGAAAAGTGTAAGAAAGAATATAAAAATCACCTGCAATGGTTTCACCCTCAGATAACACCTCCAGCATTTTGGTGGTCATTTATATACATGTACATAATTTAATAGAATTCTCACTTTTTTTTTTTTTTTTTTTTTTTTTTGAGACCGAGTTTTGCTCTTGTTGCCCAGGCTGGAGTGCAATGGCACGATCTCGGCTCACCGCAACCTCCACCTCCCAGGCTCAAGCGAATCTCCTGCCTCAGCCTCCCTAGTAGCTAGGATTACAGGCATGTGCCACCATGCCCAGCTAATTTTGTATTTTTAGTAGAGACAGGGTTTCTCCATGTTGGTCAGGCTGGTCTCGAACTCCTGACCTCAGGTGATCCGCCTGCCTTGGCCTCCCAAAGTGCTGGGATTACAGGCATGAACCACCATGCCCGGCGAATTCTCACTTTTTAAATAACCTGTTACTTTTAATAGTCACTTTTGTTTGTTTTCTATCATTCTCTTCCCTCCCTGTTTCTCCTTAACATTGTTCACACTGATGTGTTCAGCACCTTTTAATACACACACCGGATTTAACAAATGGAATATTCTATGCCCTTCTCTCTCCTCATTTAACAATACGTAGTAAAAATCCCTTGAGTTAACCCTAAAAACTTATTTAATTTTTCTTAACAACTGCATAATATTCTGTGATTAGGATATATCTCAAATTCTCAACCATTCCCATATTGAGATATTCACTCTGTTTTAAATTTTTATGTAACAGCTTATGGAATTCTTGTCTAGTTAATCTCTTTCCAACCCCATCTTATACACATATAAATGTTTGCTGTTTGCATCAACTATGTCACGGGGTGTGTGTGTGTGTGTGTGTGTGTGTGCGCGCGCGTGCATGTGTGCACAGTTGAGTGTTACTGTTACCAAAAATGTATCAAATCAAGAAAGGGGACCTCTGGTGTGCACATACAGTATATTGCTGCCTGTGTTACTCTTTTATTTCCGTTTTCCCTGGATTCAGCATCCTCAGGTGCAACCTGATTCAACAGGTCAGATCCCCTCTCGTCTCCTGACATTTGTGTCTCCTACCTCTAGGGGGCACTGTAGAAGTTCCTCCTCACTGCCCACCACCACTTGCCACCACCTGATGGCAGTGGGCTCTGTCATTGTCTCCAAAGCCTTCCTTGAAACCAGCCTAAGGCCTGGCATGTGTGGCCCATACCCCTGTCTAGCAGGAGAAAATGGAGCCCATTATGGCATCCACCTGAACTTACTCCAGCTGTGGTCACCAAATGCCATTTGTATCAACTGTATCACTGTGTGTTTACAGATTTGGGGAGGAAGGAGACATTGTTTTAGTCTTTATCATTTGCAGAATTCCCTGAATGGGACACTTCCTCATATTTAATGAAAACAAAAACTGTTTTGTATCATATGAATGATAAAATGTAAACAACAAGACTTCACTCCAAGAGCAGATGAAAGTCTCTGTTTTTTTTTTTTTTTTTTTTTTTTTTTTTGAGATGGAGTCTTGCTCTGTGCCCAGGCTGGAGTGCAGTGGCGCAGTCTCAGCTCACTGCAAGCTCCACCTTCCGGGTTTCACACCATTCTCCTGCCTCAGCCCCCAAGGAGCTGGGACTACAGGCGCCCACCACCACACCTGGCTAATTTTTTGTATTTTTAGTAGAGATGGGGTTTCACCGTGTTAGCCAGGATGGTCTCGATCTGACCTCGTGATCTGCCCGCCTCGGCCTCCCGAAGTGCTGGGATTACAGGTGTGAGCCACCGCGCCCGGCCGAAAGCCTCTGCTTTTGTGAATGTGTAACACTGACTGACTTTTCACCAGCCGGTTCATGTGCAAATTCAGCCAGACAGATCTGGCCACAAGCAGAAATGTCTGTTTACACCAGCTTTGAGAACCTGGTAACTCCAGCTCAGCAGGCTTTTTAAAAAATTTTTTTTAAATTTTTGAGACAAAAAGCCTGTCACCCAGGCTGGAATGCAATGGTGTGAACTCGGCTCACTGCAACCTCCACCTCCCAGGTTCAAGTAGTCCTCCTGCCTCAGCCTCCTGAATAGCTGGGATTACAGGCGCCTGCCACCACACCCGGCTAATTTTTTTTGTGTGTGTTTTTAGTAGAGACAGGGTTTTACCATGCTGGCCAGGCTAGTCTCAAATTCCAGACCTCAGGTGATCTGCCCACCTTGGCTTCCCAAAGTGCTGGGATTATAGGTGTGAGTTACTGTGCCTGGCCAGGAGGCATTTTTAAAAGCAGCTTTTTTCAGTTGAAAACATAAATTTACTTATGGCTGTAGTAAAATAAAACAATGCCTGCCAGCCAGAGAGAACATGATGACGGCAAAAAAGATACAAACAGGCCACATCTAGTGGCGTGACTGCTTTTCTTCTACAACTTTCAACCCCAAGAACCTCAGTAGCTTCGGAACACTTTCTGGGGACCTCATATTACAAAACTTCGCTTGCTTTAACATCTGGCACAGCGTTAGAGTCATCTTGTTTTCCAAAAGCAGTTCCATTGGACGCATGGAAAGAGTGGAAAACATCTTCCAAAGCTGGACGTTGAAGATTGTGCAGGATTTGGAAAACTAGAATAGAGGGAAAAGGATGTTGAACACTCAAGTGGGAAATAAATAAGGTGTGTTTGGGAGGTACTGAAGAGGTAGGGCTGTCTAGAGTAGAGATTCTGTGTGGGCATCTTGGAAGGTGAGATTCAGAAGGTACAGCCATGAGTCTCGGATACCAGCTGCCAAGAGTGGACTTGGGGCAACAAGGAGCAGTTGGAGGTGAGTGCATGCGGGACGAGATGAGATCAGAGTGGCAGAAAGATGAATGTGCACAAAATGTGAAACTGATAAAGACCCAATAGCTGAAAAGTGATGGGAGGAGAACGTATCCGTGGTACATGACAGATTGGAGGGCTAAGATCTCAAACACAGCAGCCCCAGTTAGCAGGCATTGCTGCAGTTAGATTTTAGACTGATTAGAGTGGAGGTAAAGGAATGGGTATGAAGGAAAAGCTCCTCCAAAGCACATGGACTAATGTTGCTTAGAGAAAAAAAAAAACCCACAGTGTTGAACTTCGGAAGGTCTTCTTTGTGTTGTTTCTTACATATATGTATCTGTATGACTGTATGCATTAATATATGTTTATCACCTGGTGGCTGAAATCAAGAGACACTCATTGCACAAGTTTTGTGGTGTGGCTGCTCTGTGCCAGGCATGTTCTGGGTGGTAAGACAGGAGAGCTGCCAGTAGGCACCTACTTTTTGATGATCCCTGTATCCAGATAATAGTATTCCAATGCTTATTCTTCTGCAAAATTATGGTACTTCCACATGGCCAACATTGCATTCAGTTCTGCATGTCAGACATGTAATAGCATTTTGAGAAGGACAAGATACTCAGAGAAACTGGGTGCTGCCACCTGTGTATCAAGTCAAAGTGTGAATAGTCCCAGGCTGGCAGAACTGGAGATGCGAGTTTGTCTGTAAAGTCATAAGAGTAAAGCAGGTTAAACTGTGCATGTTCACTGAACTCCAGAACCCTAGAATTTAGGGGGAGCTCCCTGGAACTTGGAAAAAGAGAAATATAGGCCAACTAACAAGCAAGGCCCCTAAATGCCAGTAGTAAATTGCACCACCAAGGAGGTGGCACAGATGGAAAGAGGAGCTTGTCAGTGCTGCTCTAGAATGGATTATCATGAGGTGTTAGGGTTCATCTGTGGCCTTTGAAAAGCAGCAGTTGAGCAGGCATGACATAGGAGCTGAAGGAAACTCCTGGAGTCACCTCCATCTGAAAGTCTATTTTGGTCTCCCTTGTGCCCTTTCCTGGAGAACAGAGAAGAGTCTTCTGTCTATGTCACAATCACAACCAAGCCCAAATCCTCCCATTGTCTCCTTTGTCCTCTGTGTCTTGAGAACATCATGTACAAAGCTGCTTTGCTGTAATTGA